GCTGGAGCAGCGCTAGCAAGAGCAGCGCAGCTGGGGAAGGAGCAAGGACACGGAGGAGGAAGAAGAGCAGGAGGAAGGGGGAGCGCCAGAGGTACTTACCTGGCTATGGTGGCAGCCATCTTCATCACCTTGGTGGGCGCTGCAGCNGGGGGAGCGCCAGAGGTACTTACCTGGCTATGGTGGCAGCCATCTTCATCACCTTGGTGGGCGCTGCAGCAGGGAGACCCCCAGCTGGGGAGAGCAACACCAAGAAGCTTTGAGGCAGAGTCAGGCATGGCGGTCTGACCTAGAGCAGCCATAGCTGCTTTGTGTTGTCCTTTGCACAGCCGGGCAAGGCCCAGGTAGTCTGCCATAGCCTCGGCCTATGAGAGTGAAGAGTGAGGGAGGCGGCCATGGCTATGGTGGAGTGAAGAGTGAGGGAGGCGGCCATGGCTATGGTGGACCTCAAGTGATACCTTCAGTAGAAGAGGGCCATTCACCATTGTACTATTATTTCTTGTATGAATAAGAGAGTAGTAAAGGAGGAGGAGAGAGTTGAGCGAAGAAGAAGAGCTTTGTCATTTGTCTATGCTGGTGTACATCATCTTCTTCTTCTCTCTTTCTTCTTCTTCTTCCTCCTACTCTCTCTCTCTCCTGTCAAGTTCATTCATTTCTCTCTGCAATTGGACGGCGTTATACTATCTGATGAATGTGTATCTCGAAATTGGCCAGGATCATAACTCGTATGCCACTAACGGCTCACTCGTATGCCACACTACATGCTGATCAACCTAGGTAGTAAGTTGCTACTAAGGAACATACATATTGATGTTGTTTTGTGGCATGATTATCGGGCACCATAAAAGTGATCTGTTGGTTTGAGGCCTACGAAGGCTTTCCCTGCTAAGTCTGCCACTGTTGCTTTCTATGGAGGCATGGGCAGGCTGTCGAGGAAGATAGATTCTCCCCTTATGCTCGTTGATCATCCTGGGCATGTGCATATAATTTGTGAAGTTTTTCTCGCATGACGACAATTCAACCTGGACAGTGATTTGCTAGAGCAGTGTTTGTTGGTCATCCTGGCCGCGTGTTCATAATCTATTGGCCCCGGATTATCTTTCTCATCCTTTAGTGAACAGGTTGCTTCCTCCTTGCAAGTTCACCTCTCATGCTCTGTGTAAAATCTTTGGATGACAAGTTCTGAAAGCAAGTTTTGAGGGAGTAGAGTTCATTTGACCTCCAACCGCGGAGGTGGGTGCAAGAGTTGAAGTTGCGGTTAGTCAACCTGTGAGGCTGGATGCCACAGACAAGCATTTGCTTCAAACATAATTTCAACCGAGGCCTTCTCCTTCGTGCCGCCACGAAGATCGGACTATATCATCATCCCAATCATAAGGTTGCTGATTGGAAAAAACCACCGTCATGATAGCTGGTCTATTATCAAATTCACTGATGGTGGAATAGTCACCCTTGCACTGGTGTCTTCCATGGTTCATGGAAAGGGGGTACTTAACATAGTCTGGAAAGGTGATGGCATGAATATGATCCTTGGGCGTCATTGCTATGTATTCTTGAATTAAGTCAGGTTCTTATATTAATTAAGCAAGATAAAGTATGAAAGAATCTATTATACTTATATCCCTATTTCTATTATGATGACTTGCAAGGAAAATGAACAGAAGCGAGATGACAATATTCAGATCGCACAATCACATTGAAAGCCAAATCGTATCACAGTGTTCAGAAAGCAGCATTGCACCAATATAACACCAATAGAGAATCGTAGTACTGAAAGTCAATGTTAATGAGAGCTTGCTCTCGCCACCACCAACATATGTATCCAGTCTCTATCCCTCAGCAGCGCCCTGCTCTCTGCACGACCGCACGTGCTTGCACCTCGCCGCACAGCGCTAGCAGCAGCCCACGAGCTTCAGCTCCAGCAGCGCTGCCGCCAGCATGTGAGTGCCCGAATGCCAGGCCAGGGAACGAGCTACTGGCCTGGGCCCAGAAGCTTCCGGTAGGCCCCAGGATGCTGCACCTCTATTGCAGCTACTGGGCCTCGTTCGGTTGGGCCTCCCAACTGTCTGTGTATGAGGCTGCGATTCTCGTCCAGGGCCTGCATCATTTTGGAAAGGCCTGGAAG